GCCAGGTCCCCAGGATGGGGTTTGCGAGGGGCAACCACATATTGATATTTCTTTCCCTCTCTTTCTCTTTCCCTCTCTCTAGATAAATAAGATTAAAAAAAAAAAGACAAGCGCAACTGGACCTCTTGCTTTTAAAAGGCATTAGAGAATTCTCCATTTACTTCACTGCCATGAATTTTCTTTCCTTTTTGTTAAAATGGATAATCACTACCTTTGTTTGGGCCCTGCTTTTTTCCAGAAAGGAAGGAAGACAGCTATAATCATTACCTAATTGATTTCCCTCACTCCCCTGCTCCCCTCCTCCTCTTCATAAGCTAACGTCTTCATGCTGATGTTGTTTTAAATGAGGAGCAACCATGCGTTCACATTTATCAAGACAATATTAGCCTCCCCAAAAGGGATGAAGCTTGATCTGTTCATTCAACAAACGTTTATTGAGTTTCTGCCAACTAGATGGCCCCGGCTCCCACCTCACCAGGCTGACGATCTAGCGGGGGACCCAAAAACTAAGCAGGTAACCACGGCAGAGGAGGGTGGGCACGTGACACGGAGATGGAGGACGCTCCCGGAGCACGCAGAAGGGACACCTCCTCCAGACTCGGGAGATCAGGGAAGCTTCCGGGAAGTGACATTAGTTGGAAACTTGAGGGACTATATGCCATTTGAAGGCAACATGAGTCGTAATGCCTCCGAAACACCAGGGAGAGTGGATCTCAATAGTGTGTCCAAGCGAGAGTTACTTCTGAATCCAGATATGACAAGTGGTTCCCTTACCACTGTCCCCATATAACCCACGGACTGGCCACAACTCACCCAAAGCGCTCAGTTTTATCACATATTTCCAGTTCCTTTATTTCTAATTATATTCTACTTTCTCTGAACACAAACTGTCCTATTCACTATCTTTACCAGCCTCTCAGCTATGCAGCATTTCCACTCAACCCACCAAGGGCATGTGTGGGAACAGGGTGACAAACCCAGGCCATGGGGAAGGGAGGCGCTGGGGCCCTGCACAGGGACGCGTACCCCCTGAAGTGTGTCCCTGAGCGTGGAACTGAGAAAGGCCGTGTGACTCTCCGCGGGCCACTCCACTCCCCACAAGCCTTGCAGAAGTGGCCTAGTCCTACCAATCCTGTTCCTGAGACAAACGGCCCTGCTTGGAGCTTATCTTACGTGGACACATGTGCCTGTCATATTCTAAAGACAGCGGAACGGGCTCTTGACCCCAAGGCCCCTTACTTAACAGTTGGATCTTTCTCCTCTGTTCAGTCACAGATGGTATATTTCCTGCTTCCTAAGAATACAGATATTTTCTTAAATCATTTCTATATTTCATGTCAATGCACAATCATAATGCTGGGGCCACAGACAAATAAGCTTTGACCACCTGCTCTTCCAAAAATCACTGAACATGCTATAAGCTAACTGAATGGTTAGCTTGGCTGGCTAACTGAATGGTTGGCTGAAATAACTTTTTAAAATCTCTTCCAATCCCGAGATTTTATAATTCTATGACATAATCGAAGCCATTTTTCTTGGAGAGCTATACCCCAGTAAAATTAGCCTAGTGTAAGATGTGACTGTAGAATAAAGATTGGGTTGCTGTTTCAATAATATTTGGTTTTTCAAAGTTGCCCCAACATAATCCCGCTGTCAGTGGGCAAAACTGCTGCTGCTACACATATAAGTCAACTCAGCCTGGGCGTGGTCGGTCATGGGATTTACAGCCAAAGACAGAGGACTTTACTCCGACAAACCAACTGAACACAAAATTTAACAAACACAAAAGAATGGCCTAAATGTGGTGGATGGTATGCTCCTTCCTATCTAAGGGTATGAATTATTTTGCTAGCCTTCGCAAACTGAATCTTAACTGTGTTTTGAGACCTGAGTACCAAAAAAAGTATCCTCAGTGTTTTCAGCTTTTTGATTGAGTCTTACAGACATGGAATGAGAGCCATGCCCGCCTTCTTGTGCTGCCTAACCTCACCCTGCTTTATGCATCCAAAATGGAAAACATATTGATAAGACGCACATCTTCACAACTAATATCTCTGTTTGTAGCTCAAGCTGTCATTCAAAACGTCAAAGAAAAGAAGGGAAGAGAAAGCGAGCCACGTTGCTCAAGCCTCTTACCAGGTGCGATACCTAGGGTAGAATAGAAGTACACCAGAAGTATGCAACACACTTGCTCTTCTGAGCCAATATTCTCTTCCAGTTCCCTGGCAACAGCCTTAGGGTCCCAGACAGTTCCTGGCAGCAAGCAACTAACCTTGTGGGTTCAGATCCAGCCTCTTCCACTTCCTAGCTGTGTAATCCTGGAAAGCAATGTAACCTCTCTGGGCATTAGTCTCCATGTGGGAGTAAAAGATACCACCTTCTCCATAAGGCTGTTGGCATATTTCAGTAATACCCTCATCTCACCTCTATCTCTAGTTCACTCTAAAACTGGTTGCTGTTTTTTGAAGATTGTATTTATTTATTTTAAGACAGAGGGGAAGGGAGGGATAAAGAGGGAAGAGAGAAACATCGATCACCTGCCTCCCACATACGCCCAAATCCACAACCCAGGCAGGCACCCCGACCGGGAATCGAACCAGGACTCCTCGTCTTGCGGGATGATGCCCAACCAACTGAGCCACATCGGCCAGGGCTAAAGCTGGTTGCTTTGAAGAATTTTGAAAGGGTTACAGGAATATAAGAAAATAAACATGGAGAAGCCACTGAGTCCTAAAGAGAAAAAATTTATAATTGCTATGGTTCAACTGGTTGAGTCACATTTAATTAATTAAGTCTGGAATTTCAAAGGATTAAAAAAAGACCTTCCTAACAAAACACCTAAGACCCCCCCCCCAAAAAAAAAATGTGGCATCAGAGTTGGAAAGGTCCTAAGAAGTTGCTCTCGAGGACTGGGGTGGTAGCAGCAAATACTCTGTTGAAATGGGAGGGAAGGAACAGATTCCTTGTCCCTCCCCAGGACAAGAAGCAATCTTCTGCCCTGGCTGGTGTAGCTCAGTGGATTGAGTGCAGGCCTGGAAACCAAACAACCGTGGTTTGATTCCCAGTCAGGGCACAAGCCTGGGTTGCAGGCCAGTTCCCAGCAGGGGATGCACAAGAGGCAACCATACATTGATATTTCTCTCCCTCTCTATAGATAAATTAAAAAAAAGAAGCCATCTTCTAACATTATCCTCCCTCTCAATATTTCAGCTCCAATGCTAAGTCTGGGGTGAACCAAGTCTAAACACTGTGTAAACTTGAGAACACGGGAGAGGGGGAGAGAATGGAGTCCAGTGTGGGGAACAGTCAGTGAGAATACTGAATAGCTGTGAACATCTACGTGAACCATACTTGTGTGTTTGGGACTTACGGATTAACCCTTCCATCTCCTCATTGCTATTGTGTTTGGCTAAAAAGGAAAACTGTCACCCCAGCAACATCAGTCTCATTAGAAGGAGAAAAACAACCGTGTCAGGAGATGTAATGACCCTTTTGAAGGTAGCTGGTTGAGAACCTGGGAATCACTTTAATACCGCGACAGGACAAACCGCATCGACACCACATTTAAATAAAATGTTTATACACAACCACCAAACACCAAGTGATGACTCGCCAGAGCGCCAGTTCTCCTTCCTCTATCAGGCCTATTGGTGAGGCAACATACTTCATTTTTAAATGGCATTCAGAGTGAGGTACCAATCTGTTCAATGAAGACTCCAGGTCAGGCTACACCTGCAGCTGTCACTAACAGTTTGCTCTCCTAGTGGGTGGGACCTTGGCCCAAAGAACAGAGCAGGAAAGCCCGGCGTTGAAGCAGCTGGGGAAGCCCAGCGGAGGCCTGTGGCAGCAACCAGCAGACCCGCAGCAGAGGAAGCTGTGCTGCTGGCCCCCTGCCTTACGTTCTGGGAGCTGCAAGCCACGTGTTGCCGCTGGTCTTCACGCAAAGCCCTGGGCAGTTTGGTTCCAGTTCTCCCTCACACCCCACCTCTGAATGCTGCTCAAAGCACTCCAAATTCTCCGAGACCCAAAGCCAATGAAGAGTGACCTACCGCTTCATCTTCACTGCCCTCAAACCCACCCCTAGGAAGCCAGTGCAGCTAGAATACCGGCGAGTGGGCAAAGCCATCCTCAGCCCCCCACTGGGCCTGCCATTACTTTCTTCCTCCGGGCTTTCTGTGTGGCCTCTCACTGCCCTCTCTGGGAATTACTTCTAGTTCCCCGTCAGGAACTCCATTACTCTTCCACTTGCTGACGTTCACTCTAGTGGACCTGTCGCCATGCCTTCCATTTCTCGCGTCCCCTTTATCTGGGATGTGTTGAGGGATCCACTAGGAAGTGATAAGGAATAACCTCACATGCTCCCACCCAAGATTTTTTTTTTTAATCTTGCTGATGAAGACAGTGCTCCTCCCAAAGCCCAGATGTCTGCACGACCTGCACACATGCAGCTGTGGGCGCTCAGCACGCATCTGCCTCCTCTCGGGCTGTAGAAGGGAGGCAGCGATGGGAAGGCTGCCACCTCCACAGGAAGCAGATTCGGGATGGTCTGTCCCCTGAGCATTCTGGGTACTGCACAGAAGTCCAGGAGTAGGAGAGGGGCTGCCAGCACCAGTAGGGGGAGGACCTACAGAGGAAGGGGGGGCGGTCCGGGCACAACTGCTTGTGCCTCTTGTCTGTCGGAGCACTGCTTTCTGGTCCTGCCACTCTGTGTCACCTTCCACGCCTCCACCACCCCCCTCTATTGCCAAATACCTCAAGATGTTTCTAAGAGGATCTGAATTATTGACGAACCCAGGGAAGATGCTTTGGAAAACATTAAGTACAAAAACAGACAAACCTGAACAGCTAGTGCAAATGCTTGGTCTTTGGCAGTTCCTTTTTAAGGCCAAAAGAGAAGGGGGGTGGGGGGATAGACGCCTGCCTCTGCTAAATGATAATGATATTCACAGAACAACAGACAAGGCAACTCCCAAGTTCACCATCTCTCCAGCTTTACTCACCCCTAGCCATCTTGCTCCTTTATTGGCAGCCTGTTGAATCTGGACTCTTTTCAGGGTGACATGGTAAACGGCTCCTTCCTCTACCTCTTCACCCCAGTCCTGAATCGAGCTCTACCAGGGGATGGGAAAAAGAGAAAGAAAAAGGTTTTTTTTCCCCCTCTCTGCAAACCACAATCTCTCCCAGCTGCTTTGCTGCTTACCCCAGCACTCAAGGCAAAAGACAGGCTGTTCAAAATAAGAATTACAATCAGAGCAATACAAGACACATTGCGATACAGGGAATGCTGAGATTTTCTTGGCCTCCAGCCCTTTCCTGTGGTATCAGGATCCCAGGACTATTCCATGTAGTTCGTTTTCCTAGGCTCACTCACGTAGCTGAAATCATTTTTTTAAGTCTTTTCTTTTTCTTAAAGAAACTGTGGTACAGTCCTGATTAACTTTTCCTCCTTAAAGGGAAAGGAAAAAGAATTCATTGGCAGAAAAAGTTTGTGCTTTTAGAAGTGACTCAGTTATCTGAGCGAACTACATTTTTGACTCCAAGCATTTAAAATGCCAAAGGTCCTCACTCTTTTGGAAGTCAAATGCTTCCCATTTCTTTTTCTCCTCGTATTGTTTAGAGACCCAAAAAGTTAGCAGGGGAGCGGTGGGTGGGAAGTTTTTATTTCCATAAAACCGTCTGGCAAGTGCAGAAAAAGCAACACATCATGCAACTTCAAGGAAACCGTGCGCCTGGGCTCCCTGGATTTCCAGGACCCCGGCTAAACTTGAAGTTCGTGTTAAAGAGCCGCTGGGGCACAGAAGCGCTCCGCGGTTCGCCCAGACCATCAGATCTTTTTCCTTAAAAGTTTTCCATCCTTGACGTAGATCTGCCCCAGACACACCAAAGCCAAGTGCTGAGAAAGTAGGTATCGCTGAGAGGGAGGGTACACGCAGCGCGAAAGGCATACAAAGCAGAGCGCGAAAGCTTTAGCTCACAAGAACAGGACCGGATTGCTCCGTTCACTCCGAGTGAGTCCAAAACATGCCCAGAGAAAGCGGGAGAAGATTCCCCACCAGAGAAGCCTCGGGAGAAGGCAGAGAGTTCTCGTTACCATTTTAGCTTGCCAAAGCAATTTCATTCTCAGTTTTCCCTTCGGTACGGGGACGCGGCATGACGCGCCCTGCTCCCAGGCCACAGCGGTCTCGGCGCGGGTCAGCCCGTGGCACCCCAGGCCCCCAGTGTGCGCGGCCCCGGCGCTCCGAACACGGACGCACGCTGCGCCGCCGCCGCCGCCGGTGCGCGCGCGACTCTGGCCACAAAGGGAGCGCGGCGAGCGAGCCGCCGGGAGGGCGCCGTAGACTCCTCCCCGCGCCACTCCGCCACTCTGTGATGTAAGGCTTTCCCGTTCGTGCTTGGAAACGCACTCTCCCCTCCTTCAGTCCCGGGGACAAAGTTAGCGTGAAATAATTTCGCCAGCTCTGGAAGTGATCGGGAAACGACCCTTTCAAGTTCATCAGGTTTTCCTGATGGTCACCAGCTGCCAAAATAAAAATTGGATGCAGTGCGGGAGGGATATAAGTGTGTGTCTTCTTCCTTCGCGAAAAGACAGAGAGACAAGGGGAAGTGCAAGAAGGATGGGAGGCGAGGGTCGGAAAGACATTGATTATCTGCCTGTTACTGAATTTTGATAAAATCATGGCCACCCCAATAAATGTAACAATACTAAGGAAGTTCTTTTCTTTTTTTTCTTTTAAGGCAAAAAAAAAAAAATTACCCAGAGGATGTACCAGAATCTGTGCCCAAGGGCTTAACCCTGCCCCACATCAGCCCCGTACCAACAGGAAATAACTCGGCACTTCTACCACCCATACAAACCTTAAGGCTCATCCCACAGTATTTGGCCACGGTGGGAGGGAAGAGAGAAAAGCAGAGAAGGTTCTGGCCGAGACCGACTGCCAGGAAATTGGGCCAGCGGTGGCCCTGGAGGGCATGTGAGTCTTTGTGAGTTGTCATTCCCTCCAGTTGTCTGTACTATAGGGACTGCTGGGATAATAGCCACAAGGGGGCGGAGAGGGAGGGAAGGAGGGAGCTGGGGAACGCCATTCATGAGGGGCCTGCCAGAGGGAGTTTTGTCATAACAGAAAGATCTGCTGTCAGGACAAAAGATTGTGGCCATTTTTAGATCCAGTGTTAATAAATCAACAACGAGATGCCAGATGATAGTGTAATCAAACTCTGGCACATGACAGAATTCCATGCGAATGATACAACCTTTAGGGCTCATGCCTTGTATACTCTTCATCCTGAAATGAATTTAATCGCCTTTAATGTTCTTAAGACCTCTCACTAACTAATTGCCACGGTAAGGCATAAGGCAGGCTTTGGTTAATAATAAATACATCAGGAGCTGAAAAACTAGAGAATCACATGCATTAATGTTCCCAGAAGGGCGGAATGACACTGAGCATGCACCGGGGGAAACGGCAGGATCTCTGGATGCTTGGGGACATCTTGAAGTCTCTCAGCCAATCCTTCTGTGACCACCAGGACAGCTCCCCCGTGTCCTGAGGAAAATCATGTGGAAGCCCTCCCTCTCCACTTCTTCAGGATCCTCAGGCCTCCGGGCCCGCCCCTACAGAACCTGTTCAGTGATTTTGAAGACCACAAGATGCACCTGAGGACAGTTCAGTAGCCCATAAGATTAATTTCACCCTAACTTGAACTTGATTTCTGGCTGTAAATTTGGAGATGGCTGGAGATTTTCCACTTCGGGGATATCAAGCAGTCTCTTTGATCTCGCCCCTCCCAGGAAGCCTTCCTGGACAGGAAAGCTTATAATTCAACATCTCAACACCATCTCTCCAACCCCCCCCCCCCCCATTTCCCTGGCTGGCCACCTGGTGTGGAGAGAAAAGAACAGGCTTCCAGCAGATCCAGCTTCAAATCCACACTCACATGAAGAGGGACCTCAGGCTCTACTTCCCTGAGCTTTAACGTCCTCATCTGCAAAGTGAGACAAACATCTACCTCACAGAGTTTGAAAAGGATTAAATGAAATATGTTTGCAAACCATCTAGCATATGGTAAGTGCCTAAAAAAAGTTCCATTCCTTATTATTGCACTAACTCCCAAACTATTTTCCCAGAGTCACTGAAGTTGTGTATATACGCCATGTGGCAAAATCTACAATGATGTCTTCTCACTGAAGTTATCATTTCAGAGAGGTTTTTCCAAGAATAGCCACTTGTATTCATACCTGACAATGGATGTGATTTCGTCCAAAGCTGGTAAAAAAAGGGGGGGAGTGGGGGCTGGCTTTATGCTAGATAGAGCAAACTTGTATTACAGTTTATAATTTTTTAATATTTCTTTTTAAATATTTCACCTGCAGGCAGCTCAGTCAGTCTTACCTTCTTATACCTGCCTTTAGGGTAAAGCATTGTCCTCATGGTCAGTAGGTGGGATGGGTAAACCAATCAGTCATTTGCAACTAAGTTTGAATTGTTTATCAGATTAGGGTACCCAGGACCTAGCATGCCCCTAAGAAGGTAGGTCAATTTTAACTGAAAGGAGATCACTGGTCAAGATGGAGGCATAGGCAGACATACTTCACCTCCTTGCACAACCACAAGAAGAATTACAACTAACTACAAAACAAAACAAAACACCCAGAACTGTCAGCAAATCGAACTGTATATATGTCCAACAGCCAAGGATTTGAAGAAGCCATATTCATCCAGATGGGTGGGAGGGGCTGGGACGCAGAGTCAGGGCAGAGGGGATGCAGTATGATACAGAGACGTGGCCATGGCGGTATAACTGGTGGTCCCACATTCATGTATAGTGGATAAAAATCAGGAGGGATACCTTGGGAGAGAGCGATCCCAGCCCCAGCCCAGGCTGAACAGCCCAGGGTTCCGGCACCAGGAAGATAAAGCCTCATAACTTCTGGCTATTAAAAACCAGTGGTGTTTGGGGCAGCAGAAGAAACTGACGGTTTCACAGGGGAGTCCATTTAAAGGGCCCGCACAGACTCAGAACATATGCAAACCCACCCACTCTAGGATTCACCACCAGGGCAACAACTAGAAGGGTGCCAGTTGCATACGGGGAGTGGGTGAAGTGATTGGCAACAGGGGGAGTGCCAGGCAAAACTCCAGAAGCCAGGCAGCAGCATTGTCCCCTCTCAGACCCAGCCTACCACACAGAGCCACAAAGTGGCGAAGTGGGTTGCCCTGCCCTGGCAAAAACCTAAGGCTCCTCCATACAACATAACAGGTGCATTAAGACAGGGAGTCAGAGCAGCGCTACCTAATACACAGAAACAAGCACAGGGAAGCTCCCAGATTGAGGAGACAAAGAAATATGGCCCAAGTGAAAGAACAGCACAAAACCCTAGAAAAAGAACTAAATGAAACAGAGATGACCAACCTGTCTTATACAGAGTTCAAAACACTGGTGATCAGGATGCTCAGAGAACTCATTGAGTACAGCAAAAACATAAGGGGAGAAATGAAGGTTACACTAAGTGAAGTAAAAGAAAATCCTCAGGGAACCAACAGTGAAGGGAAGGAAGCCAGGTTCAAATCAATGATTTCAAACATAGGAAGAAACAAACACTCAAGCAGAATGCAAAGAAGAAACAAGAATTCAAAAAAAACAAAGGGAGTAAAGAAGATTCTGGGACATCTCCAAAAGTGCTAACATCCAAATCATAGGGATGCCAGAAGAAGAAGAGGAAGAGCAAAAATTGAAAATTTATTTGAAAAAATAAGGAAAGAAAACTTCCCTAATTTGGTGAAGGAAATAGACATGCAAGTCCAGGAAGCACAGAGAGCCCCAAACAAGTTGGACCCAAAGAGGACCACACCAAGAGACATCATAATTAAAATGCCAAACGATAAAGAGAGAATCTTAAAAGCAGCAAGAGAAAAACAGAGAGTTACCTACAGGGGAGTTCCCAGAAGACTATCAGCTGATTTCTCAAAAGAAACTTTGCAGGCAAGAAGAGACTGGCAAGAAGTCTTGAAAGTGATGAAAAGCAAGGCCCTACAACCAAGACTACTTTATCTAGCAAGCTATCATTTAGAATTGAAGGGCAGATAAAGTGCTTCCCAGACAAGGAGAAACT